AGGGGAACGGACTGGAGAGGGGAACGGACTGGAGAGAGAAACGGACTGGAGAGGTGAAAAATACTGATTTTGGAAAAATAGGGGGAGTCAGGTGACAGGAAGAAGTATCAGCCAGGGGAGTCAGGTGACAGGAAGAAGGGAGATACCCATGTAGAAAAAGTTTCATAGAGATTATCATGAAACACTCAGACATATTCTAGCTCCTGATGAGGTTTAAAGATGAGCACACATGAAGGGGAAGAAGGTGCAGTGGTGAGTGACTTTACCCTCCTCTTCTCCTTCCTCTCAGTCTGACGATCAGGTTTCTCTCAGTCCATCAGCTGAGCGGTCGGGTGGGGCTTGATCAATGGCAGGAAACCAGCGGATCAAATGGTGATTCATCTGAAAGAGATAGGCCAGTATCTACACAACCATACCTCTGAGACCTCTGTGACTTTACCTCCATGTGATTTGTGGGTTGTGTGTAATCTTCTCCCCTAATGTACACAGTAACCCTGAGGGTAGATGCATACAGTACACAGTCCTAGAAATTGTTTAATATGCTCAGTTATTACTCACTCACTCTCCACCAGCTGTATGCAAATATAAAACATATTGCCTTGGGTCCCACTGGAGAACCTCACTACTCACTCAGACTCACCATAGGCCTTTATCTGTAATTAAACACATTAACTTAGTCTCTGGGGTTATTGATATTGATATTTTGTATTATCATTAATAAACAACGTGTGGTAAGGGATTGCACTGGTGTTTCCTTTTGCCAGCTGTTTGTCTGTAATTCTGAAATTGTTAAAACAACTTGATTGTATTATGTATCTTCAATAAATGTTATGAGCTGAAATTGGATTAATTGTCCACATTCTCAGAATGTTATATACTATTATATTTTAAACTTCTTCAATACGATACCTCATGTATCATGGATTTGCTCATGTATCATGGATTTGCTCATGTATCATGGATTGCAGCAGACATAGGCCCCCCTTCTTGTGAATTAGAATCACCCCAAGGGCAAAACTCCAAATGAACTACAATGCTGTCCAAGAAATAAGACAATACTGTATTTTCTACTGCATGTCTGGGAACACTTCATTCCACATTTCACACCACAATACATTGATCATTATCATGTTCTGTTGAATGACTGATTGAAAGGCTGAATGATGGCGGGTTGTTATGACTGTAAATCGCTTTGGATAAAAGCGTCTGCTAAATGGCATATTATTTATTATTATTATTTTGTTTGGAAAAAGCCTTTAAAGCAATGACGTGTATTTAATCCACTAACTGAGCTGGGGGATTGTGCTTTCCTGAGGAGAGGAGTGTTCCTAATCTGGACCCCTTACATTTTGAGGTGTGTTCCTAATCTGGACCCCTTACTATGTGATGGGCTCTCCTGCCACTCCTGGTACTCTTTGCTTCTGTCAAAACAGACTTTCTCAAATTGAATGAAGGTCCTGTTCTGTGCTGCAGCCCCCTCTGCCCCACTACGAGCACCCCCCGAACTCCCTTGGCCCGGTCCTGTTCCCCTCATCCAGCCGCCTCTGACTAATTAAAACTGGTGTGTTCTTGTCTTCGCTGGATTAACCCTAACGAGAATCCACTGACTCCACCAACATGTGCTGCGAGAGAGAGAGAGAGAGAGGAATAGAGAGAGAGAGAGAGAGAAAGAGAGAGAGAGAGAGAGAGAGAGAGAGAGAGAGAGAGAGAGAGAGAGAGAGAGAGAGAGAGAGAGAGAGAGAGAGAGAGAGAGAGAGAGAGAGAGAGAGAGAGAGATGGGGGGATTTGTCCAGGCAGCCTTGAAACCTAACACACTTAATTCACTACAGATGATACAGAGGAGAGACAGACTATTTATGTTGGTAGGTTAAATCACTAGGGTGTGTTTTAAAAACTGTTAGTGAACTCAGCTAAATGTGGCCTTATTGTGAAGAGAGTCATCTCCTCAGCTCTTTATGAATCCATTTGATGCCATTATAAAGACAGATGAATGCCAATTATCTCTTTCTCTCTCTCTCTCTCTCTCTCTCTCTCTCTCTCCTCTCTCTCTTCTCTCTCTCTCCTCTCTCTCTCTCTCTCTCTCTCTCTCTCTCTCTCTCTCTCTCTGTTTGTGTGTGTGGTGTGTGTGTGTGTGTGTGTGTGTGTGTGTGTGTGTGTGTGTGTGTGTGTGTGTGTGTGTGTGTGTGTGTGTGTGTGTGTGTGTGTGTGTGTGTGTGTGTGTGTGTGTGTGTGTGAGTGTGTGTGTGCATGTGCCAGGTGCAGAGCAAAATGAAATTATTTGGCGTTGATAATGCGTTAACAATAAAATGCAATGCTAAAACAATTGTCCAAGTGTGAGGCTCATTAATCATAATGGTTGACAACTGTTCTGGAGAAGGTCTGCATGGTGATTATAATGTGTAATAGAGTTTGGATGTCTGTAGCGGAAGTCATGATGTTTGAGAATCATACTTTTTCCCTGAGGTTGTAAAGTTATTCAATGTTTCAATATTCTTTCTAGTATCTGGAGATACTTATTTTAGAAAATGAAATAGCCTATTTTGGTAGAAACACAAGGTGTTATTATTAAAAATCAATATGGGCTACTCTTTTTATATTATAAGTAATATATATTTTTTAAATAATATATGTGATAAGAAATGTAATTTGAATAAACTAATTTCTACAACAGAAACAAAATAATTAGGCCATTACAGTCGTTATACAGTCGTTCTGTCCCTAATAGCTGTCACAGGAAAACGACTTCGTGAAAGAAGTGTTCGAGTCCAGATAGTGCACACATAAGGGCCGTTGATGTCTGGGACGTCGCCTTTGCCGTGACTATTGAGCGGAGCAGAGGCCACTGCGGTGCAATTCTACTCCGGCTTTTTGTCCGAGGAAGAGCTTGCCATAGCGACCCGTCCAACGTGCACTGTTGCACTGTGGCTTCACTTGCTTTCTAACCGTAATCCTTTAAGCACTGCTCACGGACAGATTTCTGATCACTGTGTCATGAAATCTCGGTGTTTTTGCTATATTGGCTCACACTGGCATTCCATTTCAAAATAGATTGTATAGCCATAGAGGCTTAGGTAAGGCAATTTAGTGAACAATATCTGCATTCATTTTAAACTCGGCTATATTCACTCAGAATAATAAGTTAATTAATTAATTAATACAAAAATAACGTCAGTAATATATTCGTGAATAATGGATTAACAAATTAAAAATCAATGGTTTATTTAGCTAAATGTTTATATTAACATTTCAAATGCGTAATAATTCGAGACAACGGAAGACAGATGCATGCATATGTTGACATAGACATGTTGACCTAGGTATTAAATGAATTAAATTAAATTCACAGTTTTAATGAGTTACAAATTTCAAGTGAATTTCTCCCTAAGCGGAAACGTCTGAATATGACCGCAACATTTACACAACCATTTCTGCAAGAGTTATTATGGCAATACAATTATTTATAATAATTATAATTACAGTATGACAATTCAAATATTATTATAATAAATATTATTATAATTTCAATAATTATTACTATTATCATTATTACAATTATTATAATTACTTGTATTGAAAGAGAGAGGAATTACCAGGCCAAGTACTGATCTTCATGGTTACTTGGTTGTGAGTAAACCGTTTTTCTGTATTGGTTTACATGTGTCACCAGTACTACTATACACAAATGCTACTGCTTCTGCCGGTATTGGCCAGCAATACACACATTCCCATGTGTTACTGTAAAGAAGCATTTGACCCTGTCTGTTTGTGGCAGCAGTGGGATGGAATCCATACTGGGGATGATATACTGTAGATGGATATCCACTCTGCTGAGGAAGCTGCTTCCTGTCCAGGCATTCCAAGCATGTGACAGATTCCCCTCTACATGGTAAATAATGGAGACATTGTAGAGTATGACATATCCAGGGTCAAGCTGTGCTCCTGTGCCACATGCCTGGTCGGCCCTCTCTCCCACCCTGTGGCACCAGGATATTACCATGCTGTCAGTATTCTACCACTCTCATTATTTTGCACTCAATGATGCCAATGCTAAGCTGTAACTAACCAAACAAATGAATCCATATTTTGGGTTGGTGACTCCAGATACATATACAACTTATTAGACATTCCCAATTGGTTGTTTTAACTTGGGTCAATAATCTGTTGTACATTCTATTCCTTTACTAACTTGAACAAGCAGCCTAAAAACATTTGTTAATGTAAGCATTTACATGAGATTTTACCTCGTTACTAATATGAACAATTAGCCTGAGATAAATAGTCCTCATTACGAATATGAACAATTAGCCTGAGATAAATAGTCCTCATTACGAATATGAACAATTAGCCTGAGATAAATAGTTTGTTTCATACGTTTGTTTGTTTCTTTATTGATAGTCTATATAAGAATACCTACTAAAATGAAAATAATACTTAATGCTATGTTCTGAATTAATTAATTACTTTCAGATGATGAGTAATGTCATGTTATGAATTAATGAATTACTTTCAGATGATGAGCAATGCTATGTTATGAATTAATTAATTACTTTCCGGTGATGAGTTATGCTATGGTATGAATTCATTAATTACTTTCAGGTGAGGAGTAATGCCATGTTATGAATTAATTAATTACTTTCAGGTGATGAGTAATGCTATGTTATTAATTAATTAATTACTTTCAATTGATGAGTAATGCTATGTTATTAATTAATTACGTTCAGGTGATACTTAATGCAATGTTATGAATTAATTACTTTCAGGTGATGATTAATGCTATGTTACAAATTAATTGATTACTTTCAGGTGATGAGTAATGCTATGTTATAAATTCTTTAATTACTTTCAGGTGACACTTAATGCTATTTTATGAATTAATTAATTACTTTCAGGTGATAAGTAATCTTGCCTAAGAGTTAGCTCTTAGAGATAACAAGGCTTTAGCTTAGTGGGCTAAGACAGTCATGAGTAACTCTGATAACCTGGATTTGATTCCACGTTGTTCACACAGGCCCTGGAGGAGCCAGTTTGGTCCATATGCGGTCCCAGAAGGGAGGCTGCAAGGCCGAGTCCTTGGGCCAGTCCAGATAGGTCCTGCTCTTGACCAGTCTGGCCAGACGGTGCTGGACTGACAGTTGCCGAGGGGGATGTCCTCCAGGAAGACCAGGATGAGGATGTTCCTGTGCTCCACCAGCAGACGGAGGGTGGCCAGGCGTAGCTTTAAAGAGCACCAGTTACTGCACAGGTAGTGACGACTCAGGGAGTAGCGGCTGCCGTAGTGGCTGTTTGTGATGTTGTCCATGATGTCCTTCCCCAGCTGGAAGTCCCTGCTGTCCAAGCAGACACGCAGGAAAGGGGGTCCCCTCTGCTACGCCTGGCAGCAGCTTCTCCACCACCCAGCGCTTGTCTCTCCCGCTGAACGACACAAAGGCCTCCACATGGCATCCTCCAGCCAGCTGCGGGCGATGTGTCCGAGGCCAGCAGGTAGTCCCCGGCCAGCTAATGGAGCAGCACCGCCAGCATGAACAGGAGAAGGCCCAGGGAGGTGCAGATGAACAGGACAAAGCCCACGTCTAGGGAACAATTGGCCTCTGAGTACCTATTAAAGTTCTAGATAGCATTTTCATTCTTGCATGTTAGCTCTGCCTCCATAAGGTGATAGATGATGACCTGGACATGTCTCTGTCCTTGGGCCCCGGTTCAAATGAGTCAGCCCTTGTGGGATGGCACCAAATATATGTGTCACATTCATACTGTTCTCCACCTCACTTGGAGGAGGGAGAAAGTCCCCTAAATCTACGCTGTTCAGTGAAGTGAGGTGGATCAATGCACACACGTCGATATGTACAAGGGGGTTTTCTTGCGACATGAGGGTATCCAAGCTGTGCAGGCCAAATAAATGATATTCTGTAATCTGAGAGATCATGTTTAATGTTACGTCTAAGAATCTCAATTTACCCAGTACCTGAGATGTTAAGTCTACAATAGTGTTAAGTCTACAATAGCCCTGAATCTAGACACTCCAGATTTCTCAAGCAACTGAAATGCTCTGAGGTGATGTTTCTGATGCGATAGGCATGCAAGGACAATCTCTTCAGCCTTGGGACTGGACTCTTTTGAGTGTCACAAAGCAAAATGAACTGAAGGATAACTTTCTAAGGAAGACTAACTGCCACATGTATTTTATTTTATTTCACCTTTATTTAACCAGGTAAGCCAGTTGAGAACAAGTTCTCATTTACAACTGTGACCTGGCCAAGATAAAGCAAAGCAGTGCGATAAAAACAACAACACAGAGTTACATATGGGGTAAAACAAAACATAAAGTCAAAAATACAACAGAAAATATAAAATATATATACAGTGTGTGCAAATGTAGCAAGTTATGGAGGTAAGGCAATAAATAGGCCATAGTGCAAAATAATTACAATTAGTATTAACACTGGAACGATAGATGTGCAAGAGATGATGTGCAAATAGAGATACTGGGGTGCAAATTAGCAAAATAAATAACAATATGGGGATGAGGTAGTTGGGTGGGCTAATTTCAGATGGGCTGTGTACAGGTACAGTGATCGGTAAGGTGCTCTGACAACTGATGCTTAAAGTTAGTGAGGGAGATAAGAGTCTCCAGCTTCAGAGATTTTTGCAGTTTGTTCCAGTCATTGGCAGCAGAGAACTGGAAGGAATGGCAGCCAAAGGAGGTGTTGGCTTTGGGGATGACCAGTGAGATATACCTTTTGGAGCGCATACTACAGGTGGGTGTTGCTATGGTGACCAATGAGCTAAGATAAGGCAGGGATTTGCCTAGCAGTGATTTATAGATGGCCTGGAGCCAGTGGGTTTGGCGACCAATATGTAGTGAGGACCAGCCAACAAGAGCGTACAGGTCACAGGGGTGGGTAGTATATGGGGCTTTGGTGACAAAATGGATGGCACTGTGATAGACTACATCCAATTTGCTGAGTAGAGTGTTGGAGGCTGTTTTGTAAATGACATCGCCGAAGTTAAGGATCGGTAGGATAGTCAGTTTTACGAGGGCATGTTTGGCAGCATGAGTGAAGGAGGCTTTGTTGCGAAATAGGAAGCCGATTCTGGAATTATCTTTGGATTGGAGATGCCTGGAAGGAGAGTTTACGGTCTAACCAGACACCTAGGTATTTGTAGTTGTCCACATACTCTAGGTCAGACCCGTCGAGAGTAGTTATTCTAGTCGGGTGGGCGGGTGCCAGCAGCGTTCGATTGAAGAGCATGCATTTAGTTTTACTTCTGTTTAAGAGCAGTTGGAGGCTACGGAAGGAGTGTTGTATGGCATTGAAGCTTGTTTGGAGGTTTGTTAACACAGTGTCCAATGAAGGGCCAGATGTATACAAAATGGTGTCTTCTGCGTAGAGGTGGATCTGAGAATCAACAGCAGCAAGAGCAACATCTTTGATATACACAGAGAAAAGAGTCGGCCCAAGAATTGAACCCTGTGGCACCCCTATAGAGACTGCCAGAGGTCCAGACAACAGGCCCTCCGATTTGACACATTGAACTCTATCTGAGAAGTAGTTGGTGAACCAGGCGAGGCAGTCATTTGAGAAACCAAGTCTATTTAGTCTGCCAATAAGAATTGGGTGATTGATAGAGTCGAAAGCCTTGGCCAGGTCGATGAAGACAGCTGCACAGTGCTGTCTATTATCGATCATGGTTATAATATTGTTTAGGACCTTGAGTGTGGCTGAGGTGCACCCATGACCAGCTCGGAAACCGGATTAAATAGCGGAGAAGGTACGGTGTGATTCGAAATGGTCGGTGATCTGTTTGTTAACTTGGCTTTCAAAAACTTTCGAAAGGCAGGGCAGGATGGCTATAGGTCTGTAACAGTTTGGTCCTGAGTGTCACCCCCTTTGAAGAGGGGAATGACCGCGGCAGCTTTCCAATCTCTGGGGATCTCAGACGTTACGAAAGAGAGGTTGAACAGGCTAGTAATAGGGGTTGCGACAATTTCGGCGGCTAATTTTAGAAAGATCAGTGAGATTCTTCAAATAATGAATCAAGCCTGAATTGACATGGGAAGGGTGATATCCTTGACCCCCTGACTATTTCTCACTGCAGATGATGGATCCTTAAATCAAGTTTTGTGATTGAGAGTTTGTGTACTGTCTCACAAACAGACAGAAAGGAAATGGTTTTCTTGTCAAAATCAAAAGAACACAATCTACTGATACCAGACCGCAGAAGCTGGGTCTGTCGTTCATCAATGTCAGGCAAAATCAGAGATTAGATGTTTTCAATGCACATTTTACTATGCGATGCTCCACTGAATGAAAATAACTTCTTGCAGACAATAGAAATAAGGAAGCTCAAGAAAAGCTCTGTTTCTGGTGTCTCAAAATGTTTCCTCTGAGTGAAAGACATACATCCCAGCAAGATACACTAAGTTGCTTTAAGAATCATTTTAATAGATACCTAATGCCGGATTGTCTTCTCAGAAAGAATGTATTTGTTACTCAACCAACCCCAGGAACCAAAAATCCTAACTGCATATATCCCAACAGAGGAAAGACCAACCTAATTTTTCTTGTGAAGTAGAGATACTTGCAGATGATGTAATGGTTGTTTTGTTTGTCCTAGGGAATTGATTTCAGTTTCTTGTTCAGTTTAGTTCAGTTAAGGTCAGTTTATCCAATGTCTGGAATAGATGATTGAGAAGCGGAATGCTGCCTTATCCAATGGCATTAGACACTGTTGGGATTACTTGTCCATGGCTTGAAGACCTGGAGTTCTTTCACTGCTTTGTCTGTTACCTGTGTTGTATCTCCTCTTTGTCTGTTACCTGTGTTGTATCTCCTCTTTGTCTGTTACCTGTGTTGTATCTCGCTGTTGGCTGGGCTCCCTGCCAGTACCATTAAACCCCTACAACTCATCCAGAACGCTGCAGCCCGTCTGGTGTTCAACCTTCCCAAGTTCTCTCATGTCACCCCGCTCCTCCGCACACTCCACTGGCTTCCAGTTGAAGCTCGCATCTGCTACAAGACCATGGTGCTTGCCTACGGAGCTGTGAGGGGAACGGCACCTCCTTACCTTCAGGCTCTGATCAGTCCCTACACCCAAACGAGGGCATTGCGTTCTTCCACCTCTGGCCTGCTGGTCCCCCTACCTCTGCGGAAGCACAGTTCCCGCTCAGCCCAGTCAAAACTGTTCGCTGCTCTGGCACCCCAATGGTGAAACAAGCTCCCCCACGACGCCAGGACAGCGGAGTCACTGACCACCTTCCGGAGACACTTGAAACCCTACCTCTTTAAGGAATACCTGGGATAGTATAAAAGTAATCCTTCTATCCACCCCCCCCCCCTACCCCACCCCCACAATAATAATAATAATAATAATAATAATAATAATAATAATAATAATAATAATAATAATAATAATATTAATAAAAATAATAAATAAAATAAAAAACATATAAAAAAAAAAATATATATATAAAAAAAACTACAACAATATATATTTAAAACAAATGAAAATTAAAAACATACTAAAAATATAAAACATTTTAAAATTTGAAAAAAATAACCCCCCCCCCAAAAAAACTATTACAAATAAAATAAAAATAAAACTAAAAAACAAATATTGTAAAGTGGTTGTCCCACTGGCTATCATAAGGTGAATGCACCAATTTGTAAGTCGCTCTGGATAAGAGCGTCTGCTAAATGTCGAAAATGTAAATGTAAATCTATCTCCTCTTTGTCTGTTAACTGTGTTGTATCTCCTCTTTGTCTGTTACCTGTGTTGTATCTCCTCTTTGTCTGTTACCTGTGTTGTATCTCCTCTTTGTCTGGTCAGTCTCTTTCTGGTCTTATTTTCTATCGTTTGGACAGAGAGAGGCAGTGAGGCACAAATACTGTTATTACTGCTTACCACTGTCTAACTTCCCTTTCCACATAATCCCTATAAAGAGGTAGTGAGTGGTATGTGTGGTTGGTATTTTTGACATGCAACACAGTCTGTGGTCACCCTTGACTAACACTAACTTTGTTAGGCCCAGATCTAACGTGGTAACGTGGAACCTTTTTCAGTAAAGACACAAATTAACAGAGAGGTTCTACAGATTTTTGTTTACCAGCAGTTAACCAATGATGTTATTCATGTCTTAATTTACCCATTCACTCCATATGCATACAGTATGATCTCCTGCATATTTGGTGAGCTCTTTTTAAGAAAAATGTAATTAAAATAAATCAAACTAACATGGTGTGAACTATGGCTGGATGTGGAGACCTCATTTGTTTTGCGTGTGTATGACAATGATGACTGTGATGATGATGATGGTAATTGCAGGCAGGTTGTAAAAGAGCTTGCACTGTGGGAGGGTCCATATGGAGGGGAATGGACAACGGTGCCGGCGAGAGGCGTGTAATATGTTTAACTACGGTAAGTAGTGTTTTGAGAACTGGTAATTGCTTACATCCCTCTCTGGCCACAGGGACACTGTCCAGATCTCAAGGTACACACACACACACACACACACACACACACACACACACACACACACACACACACACACACACACACACACACACACACACACACACACACACACACACACACACACACACACACACACACACACACACACACACGCTCACACACACACACACAAACACACACACACCCACACTCACACACACGCTCACACACACACACAGACACACACACACACACGTTTTCTTGTGTAACGTGTTACAGGGCCTTCAAGGCATAGAGCCAAAGCGTCCCTCTGAAATTTCAAGGCATTGACTGAGTAGCAAAAATAGTAGAAGGGCATAGAAGAGAGGTTTTTCTGTTGCAGAGATAAATGCAGAGATAGGCGGCAGGTAGCTTAGTGGTTACAGTTTTTTACAATCGCTTTGGCACTAATTTCAGAACCTTGATGTCATTTTTCAAAACTCTAGACACAAAACTCAAAACGGTCATCAC